TTAGCTTAGCTTAGCATAAACACTGAAAGCAGAGGGCTATATTTAGCCAGGCAAACCTTTAAAGTTTTACAGTTGTGTGCTTGACTGTTTCTTGGCCCCCAGAAAACTTATTTCGCAACTGGAATGCTGCCGTCGATCTGCCAGAAATATGAAATAAATAAATAAGGCCGTGCCAGGTGGATTCCTTCCTTGCTCATTATCTGTGTCAGGCCGCTGCCAAACGTGGGTTTACAGTTTCCCTTTACGGGATGTTTCCCAGCAGAATGAGCTGCGGATTTACTGTAATGACTCACGGGCGAAAAACAGCGAAATCAGAGTCAGATGTGATGCAACAATTAAAGCAATCAAAGTGTCCTTTCGGAGGTTTTGGGTTCAGCTCGTTTGTGTCGCTGCGCTCAGAAACAGTTCGAAAAAAAACAAAAGGTTGCGAGGGATTTCTATATAAAGGAAATGTTTGGTTCAGTCTAAAAGTTAATATTCTGAGAGGGTTCAGGGAGGCTTTGAAATAAAACAAAAGCAGCTGGTTGGTCTTCGTGCGAGCGGAGGCCGATCTGGTCGGTCGGGACATCGTGTTTGGAAATGTTTAAACGAAGTCGAGGCGAAGGACTTGGAGTGTTTATACGGAGGCGGGCAGGCGGCCAGATGTAGTGGAGGCTCTGGTTTCTCCTCCTAACGCAGAACAGATGCAGCTCGGGGGAGGTTTCCACTCCGGCAGAAAGCTCTCTGCGCTCCGAACGGTTCGGCCTCGTCGTTTCTAACTAATCGCATTTACCGTCCATTTCTGTGTTTTTAGAATACATCTAATCAAGTTTCACACTCATTTCCTGCATTCCCCGGGATGCAAGATTTAACTCGGTTAAAGGGCTGAAACCCGACACCCAACCGGTCCTCTGGACAGGTCGGACTCTGATGGAGGAGTTTTGTTTGAAGATTACTTAAACTTTCTCTTAATGTCCGTTTCTTCCACAAAAAACGCACGAAAAGATGATTCAGTCGTCGCATAATCTGATTAATCTGCTGCTCAGGGAAACCAGATGTGAAGCTACAGATGCGAAACTGAAGAAGAAGAAAGTTGTGTTTGCGCCGAAGCTGACGTCCACCTGTTGCTCAGGTAGAGGACATCAGGAAATGAGCCGAAGACAGATCTTAAGAACAGATTTCTACTTTTGTTGCTCGACTCCAGAACATCCGAGAGCCTTGTTGTGGAAACACTCCGTCGAGTTTTCCGCAACACTTATTGATAAAGTGTGATAATGAAACTCAAAGTCGGGCCCGATCCAGCAAACCGAGGCTGGTTCACGAACACCGATCTGGACGTTTCTGGGAGCTCACGGTTGTCGATGTAACTTTCCTACAACCCATGTTTTCGAGGCGTCTCTCCCATAAAGTTGCATTCTAGCTGTTTAATTGTTGACCGCGATCTCGTCCCGAACCCTAAACAGCAGCATCCGGTTGCGAGTGGTGGGAAACCACTTGTGTGGGTGGAAGCACGCACATCCGTTCACGTGCGAAGCGATGCCGGATTGCTCACCAGGCGATTGCTCCTGAGGTGTGTTGGTGAGTCATCCATCTGTGGATGAATCTCCTGGTCTGAAGTAGCGCTTGTTTTCCTGGCACATGTCGGACCACGTGAATTCCGCGAAGACTCGGGCAGATGATGAAATTCAACATCACGTGGGTCCTTCTGGACACGGAAAATCATGAACCAGAAGCGGCAGGTTTATCCACCTCCGCTGTTTTTTTTGGCAGTTTGTTTGTTCAGCACGGCATCGACGAGGGCGGTTCCCTCATCACTCGCTCGTTATTCGGCTCTGCGTTGTGTGTTTTTTTTCTCACGAGGAGCACATCTCGTTTAATCAAATTACCACAAACCTATTAAGCATCGATTCGGTGCAGGGGCTCTGGTTGCAAAGTTTTCTGGCGGCTTGGAGGCAGCAGGGTTCTCCGTTAGAACACGACACGGTTAGAAAGCCACAAATCCATCGAAAGATACAAAGACTAAAGTTTAATTTGTTTGATTTTCGATTGTACAACAATTGCCCACAGGTGTTACTAACACTAGGAAAAGAAATCGCGCCTCTACGTACTATAAATATACTGTTTGTGATCTGTTTCTACACTCCTCTGACTGTACACTGCCTGGTACTCGTGGTTTGTTTGATTTTTTAATTTTAAGTTAAAACCGGTAGAATAAGGTGACGAACATGAACCACTCAGTTTAAAATGTCGCTAATTTTTCCAACCGGATTCGAAAATCGCACAGAATTATTGCGATGACTTTCTGAAAAATGAAAATTTGCAGATTATTTCCATTTTTGCAGTTTCCAGCTGGTGGGTTTTGGGGTTCAGCGGGTTAAACCTGCATTTATTTTATTATTATTTTAGTTTGATTGTTTATTTGATGTGGACATCACAGTTACGTTGGACAAACCAGATGCATTCTTCCTAACAGCCAGCAGGAGGCGACTCCTCAGACTGCTAAAAAGAAAAGGAATCTATGCGAAAATGTGCCGTCCTTCATTACAGCTTGAAGTTAATTTAGGGAGTTATGGTCCCATTTAGAGGAAAATACACGATGAAGAAGTTTATGTTTTCCTTTGTCGCTGCTGTATCGGCGTATCCTCGACAGAGTTCCTGTGTTTGGTAAACATCCTCCTTTCTGTAGCTAAAATATTCCCATTCTCCATTGTCTTTTTGCAACTGATTTCTTCCTCTTCAGAGCTTCCATCCTTCGGTTTTCTTTTAGCACCAAGCAGCCAAAACCAGTTGTGACTACTTTGCGCATCTGGCTTGTAGCTCTGCGGTAACTCTGTGTTTTTGCTTTCGCTGTCGTCCCGTTTCGGCCGAGCAGCTCTCAGCAGTCGGGGGTCCAGGCCTGGGATGGATGTGGGTGTTTGCCATCGGCGTCCTCGGCATCTCCTGCCTGGGAATCTACGCCGGCTGCTCCGAGAAGAGCCTCGCCCTCAAAATAGTACGTACAAAAGCCCACGTCAAATAAGGCGAACAGACTTCTCAATTCTTCTCAAACACAAAACATCGATATCTGTATATTTTTTAAAAAAGTCTCGCAGCAAACAAAACGACTGCTGATTCTACGAGTGTTGCTCATGGTGTTTCATGTACAGTTTGCAGGTTTCATGGGGATCGGAATGGTCGTCATGCTGATCTTTGGCATTATCATTGCCGTCACAAGAAACAAGGTAATCTTTAATTTTAGCTACATGTCTGTTTATCTGTTAGCCTGTCTCTATCCTGTTGTAGCTAAAGTTCTCAGTCTTGACTATACTTGACTACTTTGGCTGTTTTAAGGTGACCCGAACCTTTGAGGGTGTTCCGAGTGCAAGAACCGGCCTTGTGGAACCTCTTTCAGGGTTTTCTTCCCCTTCAGTGTCCTCTTTGAATAGCAGTTGTCTCCTCTCTAATCAAACTTGCCATATAGGTTTCCATAAACCTTCAGTTTCCTACATACTCGGAAAGCAGCAGTCACATTCAGGAACTAGAGATGTCCTGGTCAAATCCCGATCGATACCAGTTTCCTTCGAGTACATGTACCTGCTTGACAAACCTACAGCTCTGCAATGCATAATGATGAACGTTTCTGCACTCAGTCTGTTCTGTATTGTTTTGTAGGTGGTTCAAGTCAATTTTTATTTCAGTTTTGTTGTTACGGGTAGGGTAACGTAAAGACCGAACAAACCGTAAACAAAACAACCCAACAAATCCGAAGTTTCCTCTGAATTCCCTTTGAGCAAGCGCTAAACCCCAATCTGAAGGAACCAAAAAAATTTCGGGATGGCCAACAGCAAACCTGTGACAGAACCGGGCTCAGGAAGGGCGGCCATCTGTCTCAACCGGTTGAGGATGGGGATGAACGGGGTGGTCAAGAACTTTGTTGTAAAGCTCTGGTAGGACACTGAGCGTACCGTGGCTCCACAAGCTCCAAAGGATGGCGAAAACCTGTATTCTCTATGTCAGAGTTTAGCTAGCAAAGGGCACCATGACAAAGACTTCTGTGATGCTCGATCACGTCTGACCAGAGCTTACATGTATGTGTTGCGGTCTAACAGGTTAACATACCTACAGTGACACAACTGGAGGCGGTCACTCGGACTACGAGAAGTTCATGTCGGCAACCAGTGATGGTTTAGCTAGCAATGGGCGCCATGACAAATACTACTGTGACACTTACTTAGACCACCAGACCAGAGCTTACGAGTTTACGACAAGATGGGATTGAGGAGGACAGCGTTCCTACATCTCAGTGCCATATGTCACTAAATCACAGAGCTGAATTAGAATCTTTGGGGCCTCGATAAATTGAGGTCGAATCAGGGTATCCCTACCAGTAACTACGACTTACTCTTTCTTACTTGCTTACTGAGTCAACAGCATCGGACTCCACTCCGCAGATGGCAACAGAAAGGCTAAGACAGCTAAACATTTGCACCACGCTGAGCCTTCCCCAAGTTCTTGGAGTGGAAAGCTCTCGGTCTCTCTCCGTCTACCTTGAAGCTAATGTCTTAGCTCAGTCTGTCTTGATGCTAATGTGTCTCCTTAGCATAGCATGGTGGTAACAGTGCTCCTTCTCCCCCTGTAGGTTAGAGATGCCTTCCAAAGCATCACCAGTGAAGCTGTGAAGCCCTACCTGGAAGACGAGGAACTAAAGGCGATGCTCCAAGTGCTGGAAAGCTCTGTAAAGTCCTTTGTGCTTTTAATTCTAATGGGAACAGTCTAGCTAGGCTACTTCAGAAACCTGCAGTGATTTCCGCCCATTGAAACCCTCGTGTGCTTGCAGTTCCAGTGCTGTGGAGTGGCGAGCGCCGAGGACTGGGGTACAGACATCCCCGACTCCTGTCGATGCAGTTCCTCCGGGTCGGGCTATGGATACGGATATGGATTTGGATCTGGCGGATGTAAACAACGGCCACAGGTTGGTTTTAAAAAATCTCAGCGAGGGCAAAACTAATTTCATGACTGAATATGCTAGAAATTAGAGTGCTTGGTGGCTGAATATTGGGTGGGTTCAAAATAAGTCTCCTCAAGGTAACAGCGATTTATAGCCGCCGCATGTTGTTTTTTTGTTCCCTTGAAAAAGTAAGAAAGCTAGCAGGAGGAAGTTCACCTATGTGGGTGTTTACTTTTATTTTTTAAGTAAAAGCCCCTGCAAAACAGGATGCATTGACTACAGTATCAGAATAAAAGTCTGAAATACGTTGGCTAGACTGTCACAATAAAACCTCCCTGATGTTCTTCTTCCTGCCTCGTATTAATGACTTCACTTTCAGAATAGGAGTCTGTACCCAGTAATGGAGATTAGTGAGCAGCTCTGCTGTTACCCAAATTTAATTTTCTTAAAATAAAAATTTTTAAAAAGTTTGGGAAACCACTGGTATTTACAGGAAGACAGCAGGATTCTGTGACGTATGCTGACCTTTCAGAGGAAAAGCTCAGAGGTGCATTTTTTTCATTGTGCTTTTGTTTCCTTGCAGGGAACCCGAGGCCCAGAAAAAATCTTTGCACAGGTATCCAATCAGTCAAGTTGCCAGTCAAATCCAGACAGCGTCCAGTTTTCCAGATAATAATTCGATTTTTTTTTCTCCTCTTCCAGCCTTGCGGTGACCTCATCTATTCATACGTCAACATGGTCTTCAAGGCCTTCATGGGCGTCTGCTTTGGTTTCGCCGTCACCGCTGTAAGCTCCACCAACGTTCTCCTTCGCTGTCGCCGTTTGTTAGGATGTTGTGTTAGCTTCAGAGGGAGAACTAGACAAGAAAACACGAGATTGAACCTCTCAGATGGACTCTTTGTGCACGTCTTTGATGTCCAGGAACAAATCTGGTTCTCATAAGCACCTTGTGCTTGGATGCGACTCTTCTGTAATTGCAAAATATCTTCAATCAAAAAGTCTGTGAGCATGCCCAGAAGATTAGGACATCTAAAGAACACTGAAAACACCCAAATCCTGATTTGTAAACTCTGTAGCGCTATGCCGCTAAACAGTGACTGGCAGCTAATAAATCATCTAATCAGCAAAATGAAAGTAACTTTAGAGATTTAAGAAAAATGATGTGTGTAAATACACTTTGGAAAGTTATTTGACAGATTTATTTTTTAAAATTAAACATAATATCGAGCGTTTTACCTGTCTGTCTGTCCGTCTGACTGTTCACCTGTCCGTCCGTCTGTCCTTCCAGCTGCTGGGCCTGCTGATCTCCCTGCTCATGGTCCACCAGATCAAGCGTCACGACGGCGCTGGAAGCTCGTCTATGGCCATGAAGGGCTACTGAGGACCTCCGACCTCTGCACTCGACGCACCACGTCCTCCTATTTACCTTTTTTAACGCCATTTCTGCCTTTTCCGAGCCAGCGAGTGGAGGCGACGCTGCAGGAAGAGATTTCGTTTTTGGGAGGAAAGAACCTCCGGCTTTCTATTGTGGAAAATATTGCTTAAATATCAAACATTTATTTTTTTGAAAATCAATATATATCTCTTTCTGTGGTAATTGATGTTATCGTGTATTGTACTCATAGACACATAATGTAGGAAATAACTTTAACACATCTGACTGCAGCTCTGTTAACCCGAGGAGGCCAATAAAAATCTTCCACTTTGGCCATTAAAAGAAATAAAACAAAATAAGAACGCCTCCATCCGACCACTGAGGCTAAAATTCTGAAAACGCAAGCTAGCATCTACGGTTTCCCCATCCCCGTTACACCTGATTTCAAAACAACTTAACAGTTCAAACACCTTTTCAGTTAAACCAGAATCTTGCAACAGCTACTTGTAGTTAGCAAAGTAGCTGGCAAGCTAATGGCTAACATTCTCGGCTAGCAGGAACACGCTAGCGCTAGTTCCGGGGGCTAACGGTGTGGCTGCCAGCTTTTAAGTTAGCAAGTTAGCTAATTCCTATGCTACCTAGCAGATCGTTCTGAAGATGTTGACTCCTGAAGGTAATTTGGCTAAAATCCTTGAGAAGCTAAAGTGAAAATGCAATTTTAAATTCAGGAACTACGATTTCTTGTTTTGTTATTCACTACTGGTTCTAACCCCTTCCTTGAGCTACTTGTAATTAGCAAAGTAACTGCCACTGCCAGGAACATGCTAGCACTGATTCTTGTAGCTAACAATGTGGCTGCTAGCTTTTAAGTTAGCAAGTTAGCTAATTCCTTTGCTACCTGGCCAATAATTCTGAAGATGTTTCACCATTTACAAACCATCCGACTTTTGAGAAGCACTTTATAAGCTAACGCTAAAAGCTAATGTTAAATAAAAGTGGACAGTGCAGCACGGCTAACGACTGATAAGATTTTAGATAAAAACATTTTTTAGCTCAAATTGTCCTGATGGAGGAAGTCTAGATTATTTTTAATGGTCTAGTTTTTCCTCAAAGACACAATTTATGCACTAAAGTTCACCAAAGCTGAACTGGATGGTTAAATTTGATTACAGTCAGCTAATTTAGCCACATTAAATGCTGGTAAGTTAGCAACATGTCGCGCAGAAATAGGTTGAAGGATTGTTTAAATTAGCTTTACGGGCAGCTTAGCTTTACATAAAACGTTCCTTTTTTGTAAATCCATTTAAAATCTGCACTAATGATAATTTATAACTGATTTTAGGTGAATTCTGTTCAGTAATCTGGACTTTATTTCTGAAGGAAACATGGATTCAGAACCTCCTCGGGTTAAAACGATCCGGTCAGAAGAGCTTTCCACTCGTCGCCTGTCTGTGTGATTGTAAAGAAAAATGTAACACGATGAATTTTGCATATTTTTCCGAACCTGTGTATGTCTACGTAGAGCACTTCTGTCGCGTGCAAACACGACACTCGAGGACCTGTATATGAAGCTGAACACGTTTTTGCTGAAGGGTTAAACGGTCGAACCCAAATGTGAAAATTTCACCAAAATGTCTGTTTTTCTCACAGACTGTGTTTAAAAGATGGACGTAGCTTCTGGGGGTGAAAACTAAAGCTTTAAACCTGCGTTCTCTCTGACGGCCAGCAGGGGGCGACTCCTCCAGCTGCAAAAAATGCACTGAAGTCTATGAGAAGATGAGTCTCCTTCTCGGTTCATTTGCTACCAAGTAAACATGTTTACCAGTGATTTTATGGTCTCAATTGCGAGTTCAACGTGTCCGTCAATGCAGCATGATGTTGATTTAGTAAATTATGATTCCACTTAGCAGGAAACAGACGATAAATTAGAGTGTATTTTAGGGCGGGGCCACTTTCTGATTGACAGGTCGCGAGCATATTGTGTGTTCTTGAGTTTCCAAAGTTTTTTAAAAAACCAAAAATGCCAAAGTGCTGGATTTAAAACACAACCCAGTGGGTACATCCATCTTTTATCGACAGTCTTTGGTTTTTCCTGTGGTTAGCAGGTAACTGCTCAGTGCAGGAAGTCTGAAGGCAGAAGAGAAAAGTTTCTGTCCTCTGATTCATCAGTACAAATAAAGGCCATGATAACGAACATGATTTGTTTATTTACAGTAAAAGGGGGGAAGGGGAAGGTTCACACAATGTAAGTTTAGACTAAAACCAGACGAACAAAAAACAGAGAAGCTTCGAGGAGAAACATAAAATTTGTCGATTCAAAATGCTACTCGGTGAAAGTTTTGTCACCATAAACGACAAGATGGCAGCAAAAATTCAGGGTTTATTCTGTATTTGTTGGACAAGTAACAGCTACTTGTAGTTAGCACAGTAGCTAGCAAGATAATTGCTACCACTTGAGGCAAGCAGGAGCATGCTAGCGTTAGTTCTTGTCACTGGCTGCTAGCTTTTAAGTTAGCAAGTTAGCTAATTCCTTTGCTACCTGGCCAATAATTCTGAAGATGTTTCACCGTTTACAAACGACCCATCTTTGGTGGAGCATTTATAAGCTAAAATCTAATGTTCAACCACAGCGGATAGCGCAGCACAGCTAACGACTGATTAGATTTTAGATTCGATTTTTAGCTCAAATTGTCCTGGTGAAGGAAACACAGACGAGTCATTCAGATTGCTGCTCAGTGAAGGTTTTGTCCAACGACTCGATCATTGCTGCCACTCAAGGCCAGCAGAAACATGGTCGCTAACAGTGTGTCAGCTAGCTTTTAAGTTAGCTAGTTAGCTAGTTCCTTTGCTACCTGGCCAATAATTCTGAAGATGTTTCACCGTTTACAAGCCGCCCATCTTTCGCTGAGCACTCACACACAAAGAGACAAACACAACTACAGGGCGACTCCAAATGAACCAAAGAGATGCAAAGTGACGGGGGGCAGATGAATGCCTGGTGTGGACCTGGACCAGGACCACCACAGTGAAGCACGGAGGTGGCAGCATCATGACACGGGGCTGCATGAGGGCAGAAGGTGTTGATGACCTTTATGGATGCTCTCTGAATGTCTGAAGATAAAAACCAGTGAAGTCCAGCGTGAGCAGTAATCAGGAGGTCTAGAAGGAGCCACAGCAGTGGTCGTCCTCCCAGACCAGGGATCTCCAGCTCCGGTCCTCGTGGGCTACTGTCCTGCAGGTTTTAGACGTCACATGAATGGATCTCCAGCAGCTTGTTAAGTTCTCCACCAGTCTGCTCATGATCCATTCATGTGAGTCAGTACCGTCTAAAACCTGCAGGACGGCAGCTCAGGAGGACCAGAGCTGGAGATCCCTGGTCTGTGATGACTCCACGGACGGTGACGTCGTAAAAGTGATGAATGAATGTTTGTGGATGAACCAAAACACTGGCCGACGACGTTTTTACTGCCGTGAATCTAAACTGTTGGTTTTTAATTGGACGTATCAGCAAAGCAGATGAAACACGACTCTTTGACATTTCAGTGATTTGACACGAGTCTCGGCTTCAAACTCGTCCTCTAAAGTCTGAAACTTTCCATCAGTGGAGGCTCCAGACTTCAAATCTCAGAAAATGCATTTTATTTGATTTAATTTCTCCGTCTGTCCAAAGGCTTTTATTGCAGCATATATGAATGGACAGATGGTCGCTGTGTTCGCTCGCTCTCTTATGTTCTTTATTTTCGCTCCCTGAAGAGCGAGCAGATGAGAAAACTAGACTTTGAACGTAAACCCGGGAAGTGTTCCAGCGGCAGGTTCAGCACATTTCCTGAGTTTCATCCAAACACTTCTTCTTTCATTATTGGCGTCTGACTGAGGCTGCTTAGAGTTTAGATCCGTCTGATTCTGGTCTGAAGTCGTCCTGACGGCTTCGTTATGTGAAGTTTTATTAGTTTAAGGAGAAACTAAAGGTTTGTGTGACCCGAGAAACCCAACGTCTGTCTTCTGGTTTGGGTTTTTCTACTTTAAACCACATTGTTGGAGGTTTAAGTGGAATTAAATCCATATATGTGACGGTTCTGTTCAATAAAAATCAGTCTTTTGTGGTTTTGTGTCTTCATGTGGGGATTTTTTGGTCCAGTTTTATTATTTTTCAGTCATTTCTGTTGTTTTTTTTGGTGTCTAATGCGTCTTTATTGTCGTTTTATGTGACTTTTTGTTCTTTCAGTCGACCTTTGTGTCTCTGTGGTTGTGTTTTTTTCTGGTAACATCACTTTGTTGTTGTTTTTTTATGTAGTTTTTGTGTCTTTATGGTTGTTTCACATCACTTTATGTCTCTTTGTGGTTGTTTATATTTTGCCTGGTTTGTTCATTTGTGGTGATTTTTAGGTCATTTTGTGTGTTTTTATTGTCTTTGTGGTCATTTTAATGAATGTTTTGTGTGTTTTTGTGTCTCTTTGTTGTGTCTTTAGGCTCATTTTGCATCGCTCTGTGTCCGCTGTGGTCTTTGTGCGGCTGTTTGTTGTCTTTGTTTCGTCAGATTTAACTCTGTGAGGACACTTTTTATGACTTTTATGACCAGCGTCTGGTGGAAGCGACCGCCGGATGTTTACCGGCAGGAAGTTTAAATGGAGTAAACAAACACAATGAACTCTGGACAGAGCTGAAGCAGAAGAGAAGATCCGGAAACTAGAAAGTGGAGAACGAGACGCTCCGACTGCAGACCTGAGAGGTTCATGGAGGAGCTGCTGATTGGACGGCCAATCAGACGGACGGCCAATCAGAGAGCAGGAGGGTCAGGTGTCCAGGAAGGAGTTTCTGGACGTGAGGAAGCGACGTCTGGAGGAACAATGTGAGTCCTGATGTTGTGACTTCAGCTCATCTTTGTGTTGTTTACGTCGCCTGGTTGTGTTTGTGTGAATATCTCACCCCGTCGTGTGATGTGATGTGATGTGTGTCTCTATAGTTTCTGTTTGTGTGTCTTTGTGGTGTTTTTTACTTGGTTTTGTTTCTGCTTCTTCATTTTTTGTCGCTTTGTCGATGTTTTGTGTTCAGTTTGTGTTTCTCTGTCGTGTTCTTTGTCTGGTTGTGTCTCTTTGGGATCAATTTTTGGGTCACAAATTTTAGTTTTGGTCATTTTGTGTCTCTCTTGTAGTTGTTTTGTGGTGATTTTTGTCTCTTTGTGTATTTTTGCAGTCATTTTGTGTCACTTTGTGGTAATTTTTTTGTTTCTGTGTCTTTGTGGTTAGTTTATTGACACTTTTTGGTTATTTTGTGTCTTTTAATATTGCTTTTTGTGGTTTTTTTGTGCTCATTTTGTGTCTCTTTGTGATCATTTTTGGGTCACAGTTTTTACTTTGGTTCATTTTGCAGCTTGGTTTTGTGTTTTGTGATCATTTTGTGTCTCTTTTGTTGTTGTTTTGTGGTGATTTTTGTCTCTTTGTGTCTCTTTTTGGTCATTTTTTTTCTGTGTCCATGTGGTCGTCTGATCTTTTGCTGTTTGTGTCTTTGTGGTCTTTGTTTTTTGTCTTTCCTGTTATTTTATTAATGTTGCGTGTTTTGTTGTCCTTTACATCTGTGTGATTGTTTCATGTGGCTTTTTGGCCACTTTGTGATCATTTCTGTTCCTGTGTTGTTGTTTTTATCTTGTTTGTGTGTTTGTGTTTGTCTGACGTCACTTTGTGCTGGTTGTGTGTCGGCAGGTCGACCTCCAGCTGGACCTTCAGGTTTCTGATGTTGTTGGTGACAAACAGGTGAGAAGCTTCTGCTGCTGTTTTGTGTCGGTTTGTTCTTCTCGGTTCGTGAGATGAGGCCTCAGACGTTTGTTGTGCTTATAAACTGCAGTTTGAAGCTTTTATTGTGAAAATCCTGCACCTGTGCAACACGATGTGAACGAACACGTTTCAGGTTTTCGGTTCAGTTTGTCTCCAATCAGCTGTCGGGTTTTTGTGAATCTTTTGAGTCACTTCGTGGTCGTTTTTAATCACTTTGTAATCGAGATCATTCATCGTCTGGTCTCTGATATCATCCAGATTTATCTGAACTCTGAAATCTGTTGGAAGAAAGTTTCATGATTCATGAGCAGCTAAAGCCTCGAGTCAACTTCCTGTTTGTCATTTTGTGGTCACTTCCTGATAATTTAATGCGTCTTTGGGGCAGTTTTTGTTGCTGCTTTTTGTGTTTGTGTGACTTTGTGCTGATTTGTGATTGTTTTGTGTCAGTCTGTGGCCTTTTTGTGATCAATTTGTGTTGTTTTGTGGTGATTTTCTGTCACCTTGTTGCCATTCTGTAGCTGCTTTATGCTGTTTGTCATCGTTTTGTGACACTTTGTGATCATTTTGTTGTTATTTTACGTCTTTATTTATTCATGCGGTCGACAAACTAACGATAAAAACAGTTAAATAAACAACAATAACAAAACGAGAAACCTTTGAAATGAGTGAAAATAAAAGTAGAAGTTCAGTAGAATCAATCCATAAAGTCTATCATGTGAGGTTAGTTTAGTTTGTGTAACGACTGGATCCAGACTTCAGCTCATATTTATATTGCAGAAAATCAAACTTAGTCGATGTTTAAAGGACCTGAGCGTCTCCTTCCTGTCTGCTTATTATTATTAGTGAGTTTGATTTCTGTCTACTTAGTTTTGGGTGAACGCTGAACTTCATCTGAGCCGCCACCAGATGGCAGAAGAGTCAAACTGAACAACACGTCAGATGCTTTAGATAAACACCACCGAGTTTTCTCACCGTCACGGTTCTGATGTTTCCAGATTCCAGACAAACGGCAGCTTTTCATGGAGTGAAAACATTTTTATTTCTTTATATGAAGTCTGATAATAAAAAGTATTTTCACAGCAGCTGATGGACGACGTGGAGAACAAAGTGCAGCAGGTTTGTTTGGTCTGTTTAATGAGCAGAGGAGAGTTTCAGAGTAAAAGCAGAAATACTGGATTAGAAGCATGTTTTCAGGCGGAGTCTCACATAAATCTGACGTGACTTCAGTTTTCATATCAGAGTTCCAACAACTCAGTTTCTAGCAAAAAAAAACAGAAAAATGGACAATTTGAGCATCAGATTAAGATCAAAACATTATTTATGTTCAGGAAACAATAAAACGCTGCTGCTGGGTTTGAAAAATATGTTATCATTTAAAAAATCACCAAAATGACATCATGTGTTAAAGACAGAAACTTTAAAA